TCACAGCACTGTTAACAGCACTGGTACAGTGCTTGGGCAGCTCTCAGCCCCTGTTCTCCAAAAAACCCCAAATCATTTCCCACCAACAGAGCTCCAGCAGAAGAGAACAGTCCCACTGGGAGACACTGGAGATGTCAAAAGTATTTTTGTGTAGGACAACACCGAATAGAGCTACACTGAGAAGGATCTTGGTCTTGTTTTTCCTGTACAATCAGAGGGGCAACAGGCAGAGAATGATGGCAGACAGCCTAACCAGAGTGCTGGTCCAAATAAGCCTCTAGATTGTCCTGTCTGCAGAAGGTCATTCTGGACCCCAAGTTAATTTTGGTGAATGCCTCTTGTGACCTTTCAGTGGAATTTATTTCCTGGGTTTGCTGCTTTTTCATCCGAAAGTGAAGCTTTCTCAGAGACCCAACACAAACCCCAAACAATCCTGGTTTGCCATGTGCTCTAAGGATCAACCAAAACTAAACCCCAGTGGATAAATACGATTTCAAAACTCGTCTAAGAACAAAGAATACTTATTGTCACTACAGACTACACTAAATGAATGTATTTTGTATTTCCTGCTAAATTTCTGAAAAAAAAGCCAATGTCTGTGTGTATCTACAGGCTCGGTTACGTTACTATACCTGGGGAATGGTCTTAAAAACACTGTTTTATATCAAATTTGGTCACTCTGCCCACATCATGAGCGCGTAATTTCAAGGTTGAAAGAGTTTGATGTAAACCACTGAAGTTGAGAGTATTTAAATCTAAATTATCTTAAGTACTGACAGAGAGACACCTCAGCAAGCACTGAGATTACTCACTCGGTGTACGGGCTCTGCCAAAATCAAGGTCTCAGTGGCAGGAAGGAGGAAGTATTACTCCCTTGTCAACTTTGATTACACAACAAAGAAAATAATGAAACACAGCATATGTTGTCTGGTAAATTTTAGAAACAACAACTTTCCACACTCCGTGCTTTAATTTTGTGCTCAAATATATCTCAGCTGTGGATGTGCAGAAAGCTGCTTCTTCCTTTAATACTACTGTCCTGTCATAACACTTCTAAGAGGAGCTTGTAGGTATCACACTCATTAAAAGAGTAAAGGTGTCAGAAGTTACAGCACCTACAATCACAAATATAATGAAAAAATACATCATTTAATTAAGTTAGCTTGTTATTTTTCCCCCTTATTTTTAACCACATCTGAAAAATTCCTTTGAAGACATTTAGATGAACTTAAAACTTTTTAGTCAAAACTGGAGACCGCAGGTAATTTCCTTCTACATTTTATATCTATTATCTAGTGATACTCACTTGGCTGCAAGATCTCTCACCTAGACAGACCACCTCGACTCCTCATCTCACACTAAATCAGAAAGTCTTTTCTCAACTTTGTTGGTGAAAAACAAATTTAGGTTTTATTCATCAGAGTGCTTAAACAAGTGCAGACATTTGCTTAAATGTTTTAGTTCATGAGGGCTATTAAGAAACATTTATTACTATATCGTAATTTCAGTGTGTCAGCGACGGTTCTCAGGAGAAAAAGTCTCTTAAAGATTGTCTATAGCTCAACAATACCCTGACGAAAGGTAACAGAAAAAAATAACCTTTAACATGCTAAGAAAATTATCCTGGAATGAGATATGTAAGAAAAAGTGTGTCTACTATTACATAAACTGCTTAATTTAAAAGAGACTTTATTACTGACTTGTATCAAAGACACATGGCGTACAGTGGTCCAGCCAAAAATCTGCTCTGCGACTTCTTCCTTTTCCCTATGAAGCCATGAGCAAACCTATTTACATCTGCACTGTACAACTCCTGGAGGTGGAATACGCGTTGGGCAGCAGCCGAGGGGCGCTCGCAGTCCCGGGTGAGGACGCCAGGTCGGCACAGGCATCGTTTTTGCACAGGTTTTATTCTGTACTTGGCTTTTGCATGCAGAGGAGACAGAGCTTTGACACCTGTGGCTAAACTGTCAGAACACGCTTTCAGAAAGGCACTTTCACTTAAATGATAAACTGTGTTTCTCAACTCAGCTGATTTTCACTGTCACTGAAATTACTTTTCCAAGGCAAATACCTGATGTGATGCATTTAAAGAAAAAATGGGCTAGGACGATTTCTTAGACATGGAGCTTACACGCATGGCTTAACTTTGCATAGCAGTAATACGTATTTACAAGGGCAAGATTTTCAATTGATAAACATTTATCGTAAGGACACGATTTTATCTTTAATTAGCCCAACTGTTAAGGACACTTCTAACGTAAGAAATGCAGTTCAGTGTTCTGTACCAGATGTAGCCTCCACTGCTAGTCTTTTATCTCTGCTTGTAATGAGCACATACTTAAACCAAAACCATTAAGTCATACCTAAGTGATTAGAAGAGAATAACTGCAGAAGATTTGGGCTCTGAATTTAAAATGATAATTTTCTGGAGCTGTTTACCTCACTTGAAAGCACCTGTGCAGTGTCACCAGACTGAAGTATCTGATTACTTACTACACATACTCACATTAACTTCTTTGTGCATGGAAAGACCTGCATCACCAGATTGTCCTCCCTTTCCTGCCCCTCTCTAACCAGGTGAGTTATGTCTGTGTTTGACTTCTAGAAGAAGTATAATAATGAAAACTGGGATAGTTCCAGGTCTGACCTTTCAACAACTGAAATACGATGCCCATCTAATAACATCACATTGCCAAACACAGCAACCCTTAAACATGCACGTTGTACTGGATTTTTTCATATCTACACCACAACCCTTCAGAGTGGTTGCAAACACTGAATCGGAGAGCAAGGAGCAGAAGGAAGGAAGGACTGGTGCAGGTCAGGGCAATAAGAACAGCAGCAGCCAGGTGGCCTCCTTAAAAAGGCAGAGTTACTTTCTTTTTCCAGACTAAATAGTTACACCAAATTTCTAAAATAAGTGTTGTAAGGGGTTAGCCTTCTTAAACTACAGGTCATAATTAAAAAACCCCAAATGTAGGTTGGGAATTCATTAGCAATAATCTATGCTTTAATCCTCCAAGAATGTATGAAGTGAACTGGGGGGAGATACACACCAATTTCATATCTAATGATGTGCTGAAATGGATTATTCTTCGGCAAAGCAAAGAGTCAGAAAATCAGTGGTGTCATTACGTATTTGTGCACCTATCCTGCCATGGTAACCGCCTGTTTGCAATCCACTGATAACATTTTGTGGTTTTACAAAGACCGTTCTTCAATTGAAGGACGAAATGGAAACAGAACGCACCCGTTACTAAGGAAACTCTGAGCCAAATTTTGATTCAGCTAATTTTTCTCAGCAGTCTGAGTTACACTGAACTGCTTGCTCCCTGTATTCATTTAATTAGCAAAATGTTTGATCATTGGATTGTGAATATTACCTATTGACTCGTTTACTTTTAAAACACCAGGCAAAAGATCAATGTTTTAACATATTCATGAAGGATCCAAACAACGCATCATTTGGGGAGGATTTTTGGGGATGGGAACAAGGGCCAACAACAGGAAATGATGGAGGGAAGGTACAAATGAGACGTTGGCACAGGAAGGAGTTTGGGAATTTCTTCTGCATTGCTGGTTTCCTGTACTCTCTTCCTTTCCCCCACCATTGGAGCACACCCAACCTTTGGTTAAGCCCCTGGGTACTCACTGGAAGAATCAGTCTGAAATGTCTCTCTAAGAAACGGGAAAATGCAACAATGATTTGTCACAATGGTAACATTTTGCATAATTTCTTTTACCTCTTAATTATATTCCCAGTACTGTGTTACCAAATGTTAGTAAACCACATGGAGGACAGAAACCTAGAACAGAACTGCTTTGGTTTCCACCTTAATGCTGATTTACTGGGATACACTGGAATGGCAATGTCCTTCTGCTAACAGGCTCTCCAGTGAACCAGGATGTGTTTTCAGCCAAGGGGATGCAGCACGCATTCAGCTGCCCGACTGTCTCATAGCAATACCCCCTGCTATATTAACACTAGCACGAGAGTTTAAAAAAAGATATTACGAAGTATTCTCAGCATGTCTCCTTATGGGAGAAAATCCCACCAGTAACTTGAATCATACCCCTGGAGAGCCCTCAGAGCTGTGAATTTTGGCCCCACTGACTGGAAACAGTAGGAGATTCAGCGTTTGGAAGTTAGGCTGGTCTGGGGTGAGTCCACACTTAACAATTACGAGGTGAATGAGGAACAACATCACAAACCATTCACACTGTTCAGTAATTCAAGCGTGCTGTTTACAGAGAAGACGACACTCCAGTGCAGCGACGGCAGGCCGGCTGGAGACCTTGAGGGACTGCACGCCCCAGAAAGAACAGAGGCAATGAACAGGACACCATGGGAACAGCACGCAGGAGGTGGTGCGTGCTGTGTCTGTCTCCACAGCGTCCCCAGACAAAGCGAAGGGAGTTGGTACCACGCACTTGTGTGGCGCATGTCTCATCTGCCCTTCATCCCAGAAATGGCCCCTATCAGTAATGGAGATGCAAAGGATTGATCTCAGCAGAGCAAGACTCTTTTTAACACTGAATAAATCTGGAATGCATTACAGTCTTAGTTTAAAATTGGCTCAGTGTGGGAGAAAACAACCTCCGAGGTAATTGCGAATTCTATTTCCATGTTTTATGTAAAACATAAATTCGGTGCTTTTCTCCTATGGCAATACCTGCTCTTCCACTCCTTAGGCAGGAAAAACCCAGGTTGTCTTACATCTATCAGTACTTGCCAAATGGAACCCTTAACTATTTATTTTAAAGAGTTTTTCACTGTTAGTATTTTACTTTTCACTCCAAGTTTTAAGTTTTGTTTGGTACTTTTTACAGGTGATTAGATTCACTTGATAATTTAACCTATGGGAAATAATGAGGCTTATAAGCAGTATCTAAAATTTCTTGAAAACAGTACCATTTAAGTTAAATGTATTTTGTCTGGCAGCACAGTCGTGAACAATTTGAAAGAAAAATTCAAAAATGGGAGAATCAGAAAATACCTGCTTTATGGAACTTTTCCAGTATCTCTTGACGAACTGATTTCTCCAAGTTGAAATAATCGTGGTCTTCATCAGAGTTTCTCAGAAACAGAGGGATGTGCTGAAATACTACTGCATGCTTGCATTTCTGTTTTTCAGCAACAGCCAGTTGCTCATTGAGCCACACATCCTGGGCTCGCTTTAACTCAGGGCACTGGGAAGAATCGAAGAACAACTGAGAGTTCAGCACGAGAAAGAAAACGCCTCCGACCCAGAAGCTGAAGTAGTCATCACCCCAGCTCCTGCAGTAATTGTCTATCGTTTCTCTTGTTGGGGTATTGCCAATATCGTGATTCCCACTGACAAACACCAGCGGGATGTCCTGGGCAGTGTTCTTCAGAACGTTCTTTAAATCTTGCTCTTGGCTCTGTCTCCATTGAGTTCCTACAGAGCAAAACAAACACATTTTAGTGCTCACGTTGACTTTTCCTACCCTCATTGTTAGCTTTTGTTTATGGAACCATGCAGAGTAAGAAAATACTCTGGTTAGATGGCCATGGTCATACGGAAGGGATCTAGAAGACATCTTCACTTCAATATTGAATGTCCGCTCAACCCTTTCCCTCTCTTTTCCACAACATGCCCTAAGCAAGGCTCCGGGTCAGAACCCACAGACAGCGCAGCAGGAGGTGATACAACGGTCAGTGCTTTGCACCAAAACCTTTAGCGGGCTGAATCTTTTCATGTAGAGACTGACGGTGTGGGGAAAAATGCAGCAACCTTGGGTGGTGTAACAGCTTTACATGGGGTAAAAACCAGGTCAACTCCTGCTTCGTATTTCATGGCTATGTAAAAGATTAAGGTGGTTGGGGTTTTTTCATTACGAGAACTACTTTAATGGCAAAAATATAATTAGTGTCTTCTGTTGACTGTTTATTGATGAGTCTGCTTTAATAATGAGCATGGCATTAATTTCAAAGAAAGGTAATTGGTAATTACTTCACTGGATTTTTCCTACATTTCTGTTTTTATATTAATGTGCATACCCAGACAGTTGCTTTTCTGGTTGTCAGAGGAAGGTTGATCTAATTGCTAGATTAATTTACAATCACTGAAAAAAACATGAGTTAAAAAAAAGCAGTTATTTTACTCTAATGATGGCAGCGTTGTTTTTTTAGTTTTCTAAAGAGCAATCCTTAGCTGATACAGTTATTATTAATAAATTAAATCAAACACTTAGAAATTGTATTTTGTCCTACAATACATAGCATACATCTAACACAGGCCCATTTCACAAATAATAACTGCATTTTTTAACCAAGAAGTGGTAACAGGACTTTTACGAAAAGTCTGAAATCAGATTTATAACACACATTTGCACACAGGTGCATTTAAAAACTGTGTTCTATTTTTGTAACTACACATATATATCATACAAAGAAATGTTTTAGAGGAGCTCCTGTTACGTATCTATGAGATAAAAGGTTTTTCTTTTCTCCATGTTTCTTCAAAATAGTTATGATCAATATGTTGACAAACACTGAGCCTTAGTAACTGTTGTTAGTGAAGATTTAAATTCATTTTCCATATCCTGCAGAAACTGGCTCAAGTACCACTCCACTGCTGTTACTGGGATTCCACTGCTTTATAAAAGTACTGGGGAAAAGAACATATTTGTATTGTGTCTGAGTCACGTCAAAGTTATGTCTAAAGGTAATGGGAGATGTGAGATCTGATACATGGTATACAAAGCCAAAACCCACCACTCTGGTGTTCAACTGCTGCACGGGGCAGAAAGCTCCTGTAGCAATGGCTTTAAGTAACTTGAGAAATACAGGGCCTGTGGTACCCCACGCAGACCAGAAAGCAGTGGGCAACAGGTTTGTTTCTGGGGTATAGTGGTATACCAGGACCATGGTCAGTTTAGGCTGTCCTTCCAGTGACCCTGGCACCTTGGCTGCTATATGGACTCCATCCCCTACCCCCACTGGGTAGCGTAGTCAGAAGAGTCTCTCCAGCGCACCATCCCACACACGTCAGCACTTCACCCCCAGGCTCATCTCTAGCGAGTTGTGTTATATCCCCTTACCCCCCACCGCCCTTCAAATCCAGTTTAAAGCCCTGTCTATGAGCCCTGCTAACTCTTGTCCCAGGAATCTCTTCCCCCTTTGAGGCAGACGTACCCCATCTCTTGTCACCACAGCTGGTGAAGTGTAAACTGATCCGTGATTAAAAAACCCAAAGTCCTGCCTGCGGCACCAGTCTCTGAGCCAGGCATTGATCTGCTGGCTCTTCCTGTTTATTGCCTCAGATCTCTCAGACCCTGGACTATGGGATGCATCCAGAAGCACTGAGAGTGCCGGCTGACCTTACCGTGAGGCACCTCTCTAACCCATCAAAAGGCTGTGGGGTTCGGGTGTTGCAGTCTGGATGAGTGGAGAACCAGATGGGTTAAACACTGGCCAGACTGTTGGGTTCAAAGGGCATGGGTTAACGGAACAATATGGGAAGTTATCATAAAACAGAAGGTTCCAAATTGACATGAGAAAAAAAAACACGTGCAGAAGTAAATTTCCAGGGTTTTTAGAAACAGGCAGTGAAACAAGCACATTATCCAATCAGCAGCATTTTGCATTCTGCAGAACACCATTTCTGCCCTACTAAGTTAAGGTACACTAACTCAACGCACACAAACATCTTCAGAAGCAAGTCCTTCATTATCATGGTGTATCTAGATGTAAGCATCGAGTTCAGAGAAATTATTTTCAGCAACACAGTTGCACTACAAGTACTGATTTAAATTCCTGAAGATGTACCACAACATTAGCATTACCAGGAATAGACATCCTATTCTTGATTACGTAATCAAGAAATAATATTCAGAGTGCAAACTACTTTTAATCAGCAGCTAAATACCAAGATACTGGTGCTGATTACTTCGTTGCTCTAATGACAACTGTAATGGATTCCAACTGCCGTGCCTGATTGCCTCCCAGCTGATCACAATTCTGTTCATCACTTCTAGCTGCTGGAAATCTAAAATTTCTCCAAGTTCCTTTGCAAAAGGCTTCACCGTTGCTTCAGCTGAGTGGCCTCAGCGCCTGCTTTAGAACAGTCGTTGTCAACTTTACACTTAGTGTTCTGTGATAAAACTTATTAAGATAAGAGAGGAAGATTTGGATTTCTGCCCTCCTTTTTTATTGACAGGCATTATTATAAAGCAGTGTAATCCAAAGAACTTGACAGACATTAGACAATGCACCAGAAAATACAGCTGAACTTCAACTGACCATAGCTTTCTTCAATAAAAATGCAGTAATAGTAACCGTGATACGCTTTCATTAATGCTGGTTTTCAAAGAAAGTCTGTAGCCTACAAATAAAGTCAATCAATTCAACTTGTCAATTTGACAGCTAAGGTTTTAAAATCCACTTTGTGGAACCCTGAAGGAATCAGCGAAAGGTCTTGAACACGCTCAAAACCTTGCTGTGCAAACAAGAACTGGGAAGTGCCACCTCAGGTTCAAGTGGAGTGCAGAGCAGAGCAAAGCAGAGCATTAAGCACACAGGACTCTGAATTTGCAAGCGCGCTTGGACTGTTGTGCTGCCAACCACATAGCTAAGGCTTTCTACAGCTCTGCTTCTTATCAAGGCTAAGAAATGTAAGACGCACCGCTTAGATCTGCCTTCAGACCACTTGTCAACCGGTAACATCACTTCTTCTTTCACTTCCAAGAAGAGTATTTATCTTCTTAAGATGGAAAATATTACCAGTCTGTTTTAAAGTTATAGCTGTCAAACTTTGTAACCCACTTTTCTGTATGGTATGTTGTTCTTCTGACTGTACAAACGTGTGTGATCCTGCTCTGGCAGGGGGACTGGATGATCTTTCCAGGTCCCTTCCAACTCCTGATATTCTGTGATTCTGTGATATTGATGCAAGTCCCAAAGCAACAGGCCAGAAGGCTAAAACTTGAATTTGCTGACTTTTAGCATTTTAAGAATTTAAATATTGAAGCAGTTGAGTTTATCAGGCATGAGAAGGCCAGAGAATTCTCTGAGCTTCACTCACTTTAGGTATTCAAAAAGCCATAGCTATTTTCTGGGGGGGGGGGTTGTTTGTTTTATTGGCATTGATATTCCCCAATGGCTAGAGTCCCTCTTTGTCTTCTCAAAGCAATTTGTTTAGAAAAAATAATTGTTATGTGTGTTCTTACGACTTTTATTTCAAAGAAAATTTCCTCAGACCCACTGAAAAGCAAGCAAGTAACTAACAGAAGTACACCCCTAACATGAATCGGAAATATAACCTACAAAGCAAACATTTTTCCCCCAAAAATCAAAACAGTGGCACACCAAATCCTATGAAATAATATTGTGAAGTCAAGGAAATTAAATTAGCCTTGTTGCCAATCTGAAATACAAAGAAAATGGAGTTACAATCCCCAATCGACACTTTTAATTGCCTTACCTGGCATTCCATGGATAAGGTCTCCGCACAACACAAAGAACTTGGGCTTAGGGCTTAGTTTGTTAATGGCCTGCACTGCTTGTTCTGATAATTTGATTTCTTCTCCCCATTCATCATCTCCATTGTTAGTGTCTCCAACTGCCCAAGCTTTCATCAGTCCAAACTGAGGATCTGCTCCTTGGATGAAGTAGAAGGGCCCCTTCCATTGGTATTCATCCTCTAAGAAAAGAGAGAGAGAAAAAAAACCTAAGCACCAGAGAAACTTATAAGGGAATGAAAGTTTCTATGCATCATTAAATTGACTGTTCTTCACCTAAGTAAGTTGAGGCTGCTTTAATGAAAGTCCAGAACTCTGTACTCATTCATATAGGACAAATATGAAGGCAGAAGTACAAAGTTTTCTTCTAATGGATAGCTGCAATAAGTGAAAGTATATTAATCTAATTATACCACATGGTAATTACAGACTGGTTAGAGGAAAAGTATGTGAAGAATTCAGCAAATAGTGCTGAAAATGACAAGACTAAAACATAGAACAAGAGCATAATGTTAAATTTCAGTTGATTCTTTTAAGACTCAAATTATTGCTTCATTAATTAACAAGTTAAAACATATGCAACACATTTTACATCTTATGGTTCCAGTAGACTTGTCTTTAAATTAGTAAGGAGTTAAATGCTTTTTGTTACACTTTTAGAGAGAAATGGGATGTAGCACACTCTTTGGAGTTAGGACTGGAGCCACTCAGAAGTGGTCAGCAAACAAAATCCAGCACCACCAGAATTAGCAGCAACAACGAAAATCCTAACTCAGAACTGACACCATAGCTCCTGAGACCTGGGACAAAAAGGTGAGTACTCAGAAGCAAATTTCCATTGGCAGAGTCAGAGCAGATGCGGGGTACAATAGCATTTGTACTGCTACAGTTTTCTGGTAGTTTCTCTGATACTACATGAACAAGTACCACACACAAGTGTGACATATAGACTACAAGCACATTAAGGGAAAAAAAGTCTCAACACAGGGCAAATAAAGCAGCAGTTGGCTACAAATTAAAACCAAAAATGGGCACCCTGTTTCCTAGTCTTATGTCTCAAGCTGGAATTGAAGTACAAATGCAAGTACACTGTGGTTCCTCCAGCTGTCTAAGCGCATTCATTTGCAACCCAAATATTTCGGTTTTGACAGCTGTATTTGGTTAATATACTGAGTGTTATTTGGTTTGGTTCTTTTTAAACAGTGTTTAAACAGTTAAAAACTGACTACATCAATCTATAGCTGAATCTAAAACAAAAGGGATACAGCAAATTATTTCAAATTAAAATACAATCCACAAATACAGTCTCATACTATGTCAGTCTGATCTGAAATACAGTTTGAGGCAAGGCTAATCTTCCAGGAACAATGCACACACAAGCAGCATGTCCACCGCATGGCCTGGGTTTTGGTTTTCTTTCAACTGATACAGAACTGGAGCTTCTTACTTCTGCTTCTTCCCAGGGAGGTCAGAATTCACCTCTAGCACCATGGATATGGAAAGGCTGGGGTGAGGGAGAAGGAACGTGGGCAACTCCTGGGAGCTGCTTGGAGCGATCATCTGTTGCTATGGCATCAGATCATTTTGCCAAATGCAAACTCCTATGTTTTAGTTGAAGTAATGTCTAATTTCTAAACAAAAACATTTATAATCTGTTAACAGTGTTAATTCGTACCAGCACTGCTTTGTTCTAAATAATAATAATGTATTTTATAGATAGAAACTTTTAGCCATTCATTAGCTTTTAATTCTGAAAAGTAATTAACTTTTCCAACGACATAACTTATTCAGAAAAGTGAAATTATCCACACACCCAAGGGTTGGCAGTGGGAGCCTTACAGAACCAGGTGAATGACAGTGAGTAATTTACGGTTTCATTTTATGTCTTGCATGGCAAAATATGACTGCCATCAAAACAGCTTATGTGCTGCATCAAAGGCATCGGTGCAGAGAAACCAACTCACAGTTTTTCTAAGTGGAAAGCTAAAGGAAAAAAAAAATCAGGTGAGGAAGTTTGAATCAGAGATCCTTTATGACCGATACAAAATAAAACTGAGAAAAGGGAAAGCCTGGAACAGGAACTCATTTTAGAGGAGTGGCACAATCCTCAAACTCATTAAATGGGAAAAAAGCTCAAATGTTTGACCAACAGGGCAGTATTTTTAACGCCTGTCCTTTTCCCAGCAACTCATCAGACAATATTGATAACCATTGCTGAGCAAAGTCTACTTGTTCTGCATGGATTATTCTGAAAACAGTAATTTTTACCATAGCAGCTCAAGTAAAAGAGAGTCATCTATCTATTTATTTTTACAGGAAATACTTAGAAGGGGCTATTCTAACGTATGTCTCATGGGTAGTTGTTTCCTGCCTCATATTCATGCCAGTACAGCAGCTCTCCAGGTTTTCAGTACCTGAATGTTTCCAAGACTGCGCACAGATGCTCTGGTTTGAGTGGGTGAGCGATGGTCATGTGAGGAAGAGAGAGAGACACTGGTAAGATGAATTTCAAAAGAGAAATTCAGTACGCAGAAGGAATCAAGAAGTGGCAGAAGAAAGGAGAAACAGAAGATGCAGGGGTGGAGGTGAAGAAGAGTGGGGAGAAGAGGAAAGAGATAGGAGGTGAAAAGAGAAAGGAACTGAAAATGATGCAGAGGTATATTCTATATTCTCCTGTAGGAAAGAAAAACACGAAATGAAGAAAAACACGAAATGAAGAAAAACACGAAATGAAGAAAAACACGAAATGAAGAAAAACACGAAATGAAGAAAAACACGAAATGAAGAAAAACACGAAATGAAGAAAAACACGAAATGAAGAAAAACACGAAATGAAGAAGGTGAAGCAGGGACAACAGAAAAGATCCAGGAATAAGGGCTAGATACATAACATTTACTTAAAATATCAGTCTAATTAACTGGTCTTAGTCAAATAATTCAATCAACAGCTATTTTTGTGGTATCTGATAGCTTATCAAATAGCTACAAAAAAATCCAGTAAGGTTGGATAAATATTTTCTACCTTTGTCTTGTTATTTAATCACTCCAACTAGAAACTCTACTTAAAAACAAATAAACCTAATACTTAAACCAAATTCTATTAGCTGACTACTTATTAAGTGGTACTTTCTGATTTAGTTTAGTACTTTAGAACTGATTTTGTTCCCCACAAAACAAAAGAATATGTGGGAACAAAAGAATATATGGACACTCAGTTTAAACTGGCAGCTTAAGTTTGTGTTTATGACGAATGTGTTTCAACTCACCTAAAGTATCACAGACAAAAGCAGACTACAATAAGGAGAGCTGTACTGGTACAACACCACTGGTGCAAACTTGCACCTGCACCAGCTCTTAAGCCTGTTCTGAATTCAGCTCTCCAGGAAATAACCCTTACCTGCCCTCACTGCTCTGCCTCACAGGAGCTCGTGCAAGTTCTTCCTTACCTGTCCAAGGTGTAACATCAGTCCAGCTAAAGTTTAAAGTGCTGCAACTCCTGCGATTTGCTAATTTTACTTCAAATTCCAGGAGCACACCTGCATGAGTGCTGTTTAACAGACCAGAATGGTAAGAGGGTAGCAACGAGAAACAGAACATAAAAGCATCTTCCAACACCACAGATGGATCCAGAAGTCTTTTGCCTAACAGTTCAATGATGTATCAATGGACTGTGTTCAGAGGATTATTAACGAAGCTTCTGTACCCTACATCTGTCGCCTACCATCTGCTTGTTAGCATCCTCAAGCAGAACTTGTTATGAACAGCAGGCCATGCAAAGGAACCTCACTTGCTTAAGCAGCGTGTCAGGCACCACAGAAGAGCCTTTGAACCATTTCTTTTGACTTTACACTGAATTACATGGAAAGCACTCAGACAAATCACTCTGTTGCTATGCCAGGGGAATGCCAAAGTCTGGCAGAGGGTTACTAACAAACAGCACTGGGCACAAGTGGTGGGAGCTGTTTTTGCAGTGATCATCCTGTCATGGTCAAGTCCTAGATGTTACTCCACAAGGTTTCAATTAAACAGCACGAAGAGTTGCTATCTTCCTTTCAAACACAACAAGCAATTACTTTCATGGCAATGACATCAAAGGCATCTTTCTCATTAGGAGTTTCAATTTTCAAGCCTTCAGATGAGCTATGCAGTTGCATTAGACAGTGCATGCTAGGTAAAGCTATAGAAGGTTACAATTCAATTAATAAACAGTTTGTTTCTGCCTTCTCCCTTGCATCACAAAATTAAGCAGAGTTGTGAACGCCTGCAAATTGGCTCTTCCTGCCTGTAAGCACAGTGGCTGCTTGCAACCTTCTGAATCTACCACAGCAATAAGAAGACACAAACACCAGACAAAAGCCAGCAGATTTCTCAGATCACTGATATACACATGGCTTCCATTTCTGAAGGGCAAATAACATCTGAGGAGCTGCACCTGCCAACTGAGCCACACTAAACTCCCATTCCAAACCCACTTTGTTCCCAGGCCTCCCTAATTGCTGCACAGCCGATTGCCAGAGAAGACGTCCAACTTCAGAGGACGTTGTTACGCCTCAGTTTCAATAGCTGCCCACTCTTTTTCTGCTCCCATGCATGCCAAAGAACAGAGAAAGGATCAGTGCAATGTATTTTTAGTAGCATAGGCTGAAAAATGGTGCCAGCTTCTAATTTTGTCTAAGGATTAATTCTGTGAAGGGCCAAAGCAGTCAGGAGCAATTCACAAGAGAAAACCTCAGCCATGCACTACGATCACACACAAAAACACACTTCAAGGACCTAGGTGGGATTTAAGCCGAACCTCACCATTTCTACAGGACAACAGCTAATATCTGGCTGTGCCTTGATTTCTTCCAGTTTTGCTTCTCCTAATTTCTCCTCCCTTTTATTCCCCCCCTCTCCAAGGCTAACAAACACACATACGTAGAGACTACTCACATAAACCACTGCAAGCTGGCCTCTGACAGCCACGTGGCACCGGTGGGATTTCTAGTATGTCGCTGGTGGGATATTTTTAAAGTACACTGGTTGATTTCAGCAGTGCATTGTTCTTCTTCCTCTACGCTCTATGCACTTCATGGAAACAAATCAATTATGACAAGTTACTCCTGTCCATAGTCTCTCTACAGACATCATCGTATCAGAGGAAAATGGACACAGCATTTGCTCAGTGTAGCATGGGCAGTAATAAATACAAAAAAAAGAATCTCATTCTCCTCTTGGGTTTGCCAGAATAATTCATTTCATTTCTCTGAAAGATCCTAAAACAGCAGAAATAGGTACGTGGTTCCCATGCACTGAGCTGTCTCTGCCTGTGACTTTTTCTAGGTCAAACTGGACAAGAAGCACAGCCTTGGCTGTCTACAGAAGCTATAGGCAGGTAGGAAACTGGAAGCCCGTATTTATACGTCATAATCAGTACAAAAGGCAAAAACTTTCTCCTTGCAATTGTTTTGCAGCTTACTTTTAAAGGAATTTGTTTTCATTCCTCTCAGTCCTGGAATAGCTTGAAAAACAACAAAGCACTTGCACTAAATCCTTAATAATTCCTTGTTTAATATTTATAGTTAATATGCATTACAATTATGGCTTCAGAAACACTGTTGTTGCTGTCCGCATGCCCAAATACAAAAAAATTTGATCTAATAAAGTACACATTCCTTTCAGCTGTATTTTCCATGTGAGAGACTACCAAAGATACGACTATTGAGGTTCCTGTTCAAGGACCCAGTGGAAGGTGCAATTTTATGCGACAGGGAAAAAACTCCCTCAAAACAGGTATCAAAACCCATTTTTCAGAGAGAAAATAAAACCCTTTAAAAGAGTAATTATTGCAGAAATTATGTACATTGGCTCTAAACTGCAGAGATTATGTCAGTAGAAACACCAACTGACATAATAGTTTCTCAAATTGAGCAGTGCTATTATTTTTAAAAGACAAACTTCTTAGATAACTAAGGTAGGAAATGCCCCCTCAGATACAGGCTGTTTGTACTGATGCTAAACTCTAGTCATGCCTTTATGCCCACCCCCAAATTGAACGTGTAAACTCATTACAGAAACTTTGCAGCCTGCCTGTAGGTGTGAAGCAGGGTGGCTTGCATAATGACAAGGTGAAGTCTCAGAAAGTTGCTCAAAACCCACATAAAAATTTGCCTAATTTGTATGAGAGTTGGAGACAGTATTGGGAATGGAACACGCTAGCTGATCAGTGCTCAAAAATATCACTGCTGAAGAGCTCTAGAACATTAATCAGAACGTGCCAAGATCCAACACTCATGTGAAAGCAAGGAAAAATAAGAAATCAACTGTGGTTGTATTTGATTTCAAAAGAAGGCGAATTATATGTAATTATGATGCTTTTAAGAAGTGCAGAAATCCTTGAAGGCAGCATGGAAACTATTCAAAGACACTATAGCAGAGGCTCAGACCATATGCACGGCATTTACTAAGACCTTCAGAAATACCAAAAAGAATCCAGACTGACTAAACAACATAAACAGCAGCCATAAGGATGCCAGTAAGAGCAGGACAGCATCCCCCAAAAAGCTAAAGCATCCAAATAAACAAACCAGCAGAGGTTTTATACACTGGAAGGTTAGATACAAAAGTTCACGATGTCAAGCTAAAAAAAGTGAAGGACATCTGGAAATAGCATAACTTTGAAAACTAATAATGCCCTTTTTAGAGGAACTAGGAGCCGGTAGCACTCACTAAGGCTGACAGATGTTCCAGAGGTGCAAGACGTACCCAAAGATAAAGGCAGAGCAGAAAAACAATGTAAATTTTTGTATCCACGTTTATTGTAAAGGAACTTGTAAAGATCTGATGCCAATTCTTCCTTATAGACAGTGCATCAGTTCTCTTCCAAATCGACATACCAGCAGATGATTCAACAAACAGACATGGACAGCAGCAAGCCACTAAGCTCAGGTGGCATCAACAGAAGAACTCAGAAGTAAAAAACAGCTAACCCCTCTTGCTTAAAACTGCCTTTGCACCAGAGGAGCAGGAAGATGGCCAGTATCACTGCTACGCTTAAAAGGGTTTCCTAAGCAGTCTGGTAACTACTGACTGCAAAACTGGCATCTGTACAGGCAAGTTAATTAAAACTGTAACAAGGGCAATATCTACTGCACCTACTGATTCTTCAGAAAGAGCAACCGACAGCTTTTACATGGACAAGGGAAATCCACTTGATATCATCTCCAAGAGGTATCACACAGTCACTCACCAAAGACTCTTAAGGAAGCTAAGCTGTCTAGAAATATGAAAGTTCTTGCATGCATAAAACACTCACAAGAAAAAAGAAATGGACAAGATACAAAGATCACATCTGGATCTGTACTGGGACACACTATTGTTCAACAAATTCAAAACAATCTGTAACAGCTACTGAAGAGTAAGGAAATTAAGTTCGCTATAACTAAGCCCTTTCATAGTATGGGAACAAGGCCTCGTGGAAAGCCAGGGAGAGACTTCATTATGTTCAAGAAAGCAGATGAACTTCAATACAGAAAAGTGCAGAATAGCACACATGGGAAAAACACCCCCAACTTCATATAAACAGTGATAGGCTCGTGCTGCAAAGAAAAGTCACCTCAACGATTGGTAATGGCAAAAAAAGAGGAAAGGAATAGAGAACAGAGCAAAATAAAAAGTATGAGAAGCAACTGAATAAACTTAAAGAGTCTGCAAAAGATTGGTGAGGGAGGCTTGACGGAGGAACATAAAATCACAGGTGGAGCTGAGAGCACCAGTATGCAGTGCTGGTTATCCGCCTCTTCCAGGTACAGGTTTGGAACCATCAGCTAGAACCAGCAAAAGACAGGTTCAGAACAGACCCTTCTCAGCTAGTTAAGCTGGTGACACCATCACTTGTTTACTACTTGGAAAAAGTGCTCTACCTACTTCCACAGGAATTCTTTCCACAGCACGCTACTTGTACGCTTGTGACAAACACATACCTCAAGCAAAACCAAACCAAACACTCCACGACTTTCTGGGAGAAGTGGTGAAGAGAGAATTGACCCAAACATATGGTCTTGCTTTTTCACCAGAATACTAAGAAAAGCAGTAGATGTTTGAAGCATAATTCCCATGGGTAGAAAAGACAAGAGAGTTTGTTTTAAAAAGTAAAGTCAAAGCACAGACAGGTCTCTTGCCAACAGAGTACTCATGCACTCTTTGCTACCATGCTCCATTGATTACGTGGGTAATTCAGATCCCTAACCCTGAGCTTCTCATTCACACATGTCACACATCAAGAGCAGATTAGGGCGGGTCAGAGGTATAACCCCCACACTATGTGAAAGCAGACTGAACAAGTTACTGTCAGGGGATAGGGTGTGGAAGACCGATCTTGCAGAAAGGGTGGTAAGAAAGTAGGGAAATGAAGCTCTCAGCAGTGACTCACATTTTAAAAGGCAGCAGTGTGCCAAGCCATAGCAGTGCTAGTGAATGTTTTGTGTAGCTACCTGTTTAACAGGAGTGAAAGGCTGAGGAAAGCAACTAAACACATAACTAGTTTTCATCTTAAACTACAAGAAACTTTGCCTCACTTTTAGTTGCCCTTGGTTCTGTTCTCCCCCATCCCCTCAAACATTTATTGTGTTGAACTTCAGCCTCATAAAAAACAAAGCTAAGTAAATTATTGACAGAGAAACCTTGTACCCGAAGATGGTAGCTGGACTATGATAGCCTAAGAAGTCCCAAACAAGACTAAAAACAACTTGTTGGTAAGAAAAGTCTTGATATTTAAAGAAGATCAAACAAGGACACTTCAGGAGAAAGAAACACACCTGAAAAACTTACCCAAATCACATTTTTTCTTCCATGCTTAAGGCAATTTTCAAGAGCTACTTAGATAAAACTTTTGATCAGAAAATTTTATGCTGCCATTGAGCGTTCCTTTTGTTTCAATGTCACTATACAGCTGATATAACTAAATGGCTTGTCTGCCATCTTTCCCCTCAACAAGTGTGAGGCATTCTGTCCCACCCAACAGGTGGGGGCCTTTGTGTCCCAACCCAGCCACACCATCTGCAATTAACAGGTTGCCAGAATCACTGTATACATATACTTCACATGCTCAGAGTTGGTAATTTTTCTTTATCTGGCAACAAGCAAAAGCCAAATATTTCCAATGAAACCCAAGAAAATACCACAGAGTTGTTGAATAGCCTTGCCCAGCTCACCAACCAGTACAATTTATAAGTAAACAGAAGGAAATAAAATATCTCCCATCTGTGGCAATAGGAAAAGATTTCTTAAAGCAGAGGTAGTTATGCACCTGAAAAACCCAGGCACACTGCAGAACCTCCCTCTTTGGGAGAATTCCACAAACAGGTGAGATACCGACAGAT